GTCATTCGGACCCACCTCGTCCCTGCCAGGCGGGCACCCCCGTCGCCCCATAGGTTCCCCCCAAGGAGGTCTCGCCAGGACTGTGGGCTCCACCCAAACCAGGGGCCCTTGTTAAAAACTCAGCACCCATGACGGCGCCAGCAGGCTGGCCGCACTCACAAGAGCAAGAAGAGGAGGGGGCCTGGGTAAACTGAGGCACGAGGGCTCGGGCAGCTCAGGAGAAGTGACCTGCACCTCCCCATCGGCAAGTTCTGTTTGGCGTCACCAGGTCCCCACCGTTTCACGGGCTGACTCTGCCCTGGTACCAAGGTGGCACGGGCGGGGCCACACACGGGGGTCCCTTTAGGCCGTGGGAGCCGGGAAGCTCAAAGCCAGAGTCCCGGCTCGGCCCGGCCCTGCCTCTCCGTTCTGCCTCCTCATCTCCCGTCACAGCCCGGCCCCTGCCAGCGGCTGTCTGTCTAGGAACAGTCCCAGGAGCGGGTCCCCTGGGCTCAGCTCCAGCCCAATGCAGTTCCCAGCTCCTTCTAGGCGAGTGGGGTGCCCCGGGTGCCCCGGCGGGAGGCAGAGAAGCGGGACATTTTCCTTCTGCCCCCCGCCCCACCCCGTCTGGCCTCCCGGGAGCAGCTGGGGGTGCATGTCAGGAGCAGGAAGGGCCTCCTGGGCGCAGGGCGGGCTCTGGCCCTGCCAGGGGTGGAGCTGCCCTGGCCTGTGCCCGTGGGATCTGGCCTGGGGGGCAGCGGGCAGGGTCTCGGAACAGGCGGTGCGGAGGGCAGGGATCCGAGGGCTCAGCTCAGAGCCGATGTGCAGACCCGAGGGGCTGACCCTCCGCGAGGAACCCCGCCTGGCTCTTGGGGGCCACACGTGGGGTGCGGAGCAGGGCCAGCATCCCGGGCCCAGAGGCCAAGAAGCAAATGAAAACCCAGCCCTGACTGGCCGTGGGGCCTGAGTGAGCCTGTCGCCTCCTGGGCCTGTCACCCCTTCCCCGCGGCGGCACGGGGTCCAGGGAGCTGCCCTAACGCGGGCGGGGCTGCCGGATGGGGTCCACAGCGAGTGGTTGCTGTCATCGCCCCGAGTCTGTAGGCCGTCCCAGCACAGCCACGGCCTCGGGAGCAAACCCAGTCTCCGCTCGGCCCAGTCCCGAACGGACCTGCCTAAGCAGAGGGTCCGGCCTCCGAGTGGACGTCACATGGGAAGGGCTTGTGGCCTGGGCTCCCTGGCCCTTCCTGTTGCCTCCCGGCCCTCCCTCCTGGCCCTTCCTGTCGCCTCCCGGCCCTCCCTCCCGGCCCTTCCTG